AAGGAGGGAATTGATTATGCTGAAATTTTTGCTCCTATTGTCAAATTCACTACTGTTAGAATTATGCTTGCTTTAGTTGCTCATTTTAATTGGGAATTAAAAAAATGGATGTAATTACTGCTTTTTTGCATGGTGATCTTGATAAAAATATTTATATGCACCAACCTGAGGGCTTTGTGGACCCTAAATTGCCTGATCATGTGTGTTTGTTAAAAAGGGCTTTGTATGGTTTAAAACAATCACCTAGCCAATGGAATATTAGATTTGATAAATGCATGCAATTTTTAAAGTTTAAAAAGAGTTCTGCTGATCATTGCATGTATTATAAGAATATAGACTTTGTGCCTGTATTTCTTATAATTTATGTGGATGACATGTTGATTGTTAGTCCTTGTTTGAAGTCTATTGAGCATGTTTAAAAATATCTTTATGAAAATTTTGACATGAAAGACTTAGGTGATTCTAAAAGAATCCTAGGCATGACTATTATTAGGGACAAAAACAAATCTACTCTAGTTTTAAATTCTCTGTCTGATGCCAAATCTGTGAATGTGCCTCTTGCTTCCCATTTTGTGTTAAGTAAGGATCAGTCCCCCAAGACTGAAACTAAAATAAATGATATGAAGAAGGTGCCATATTCGAATGCTATAGGATCGGTCATGTATCTCATGGTTAGTACTAGGCCTGACATTGCATATGCGGTTAGTTGCTTGAGTAGATACATGTCAAACCCTGGTATGCCTCATTGGAATGCCTTGAAGTGGTTGCTTGAGTAGATACATGTCAAACCCTGGTATGCCTCATTGGAATGCCTTGAAGTGGCTTTTAAGATATTTGAAATCCTTTGTGGATGTAGGATTAACCTTCTCTAAGTGTTCTGAAGGTGTTAAACCTGTTGGCTATGTAGATTCCAATTATGCAAATGATAGAGATAATAGAAAATCTACCACTTCCTATGTGTTTACTTTGTGTGGCTCTTGCATAAGTTGGAAATCCCAACTACAACTCATTGTTGCTCTATCTACTACTGAATCTGAGTATGTCGCTGCCACTGAAGCTTTTAAAGAAGCTATTTGGCTTAGGGGCCTTATATCTGAAATTGGTTTTCTTGATAAAAATGTGGTTGTATTTTCTGATAGTCAATCTGCTATTCAACTTTGTAAAAATCATGTTTTTCATGATAGAACTAAACATATTGATGTTAGATTTTAGTACATTCGGGATATGGTTGAAAAGGGTATTGTCAAGTTAGAGAAAATTCCATCAGAATTTAATCTTGCTGACATGGGTACTAAGTGTTTGCCTTTTGAAAATTTTATCTCGTGTCAAAGAATCTTGAATTTTGACTTTGGGTAATCTTTCCATTGCTTTGTGTGTTGCCTTTGTGGCCTATTAACTTGCTTTGTGCTTGTTAGTAGCTTTGTGATTTGTTTTTTTTCCTTTGAACTCGATGACCGTTTTGTAGAGTTCGGTCCTTTGTGGACTTGGTATGCTTGGTGATCTTACCCCGATCTTTGTGATCTGAGTTTACTATGCTTGGTGATCTTACCCCGATCTTTGTGATCTGAGTTTACTTTGTGTATTCTCTTCCATTGCTTGTATCTTCTTTGTGATTGTGATCTGAGTTTACTTTGTGTATTCTCTTCCATTGCTTGTATCTTCTTTGTGATCATACAGATAATGGTTTGGCAATGATGAGTCCTACAGTTCTGTGTTTTTCTCAATGCACTACATTGGGCCAAAAGTGGAGATTGTTGATATTAGTTGGCTCAAAGGCCTGTTGATGGCCTGTTACCTAAAGGCCCAGTTCCCCTCCCATAATTTGCCCTAGCCTCCTCTATTCCTCTCTCCTACCCGATGGTACTCAACCCTTTTCGCACCTCTGTGATCTAATGGCCCGTAATCCGCAACCGTTGAACTGACATAAAGTTATCAATAAATACATTTTGAGTAATCGAGTTACTTTCGAGTAAACATAAGCTTCATCATTTTGGTTTTTGACTGGATAGTGAACTGAGTCTAGATATATATGACTAGAGATCCTGTTAGAACACCATACGATGTGAGGTTCTATGAGCCAAAAGGGGCGCAGTGATCTAACTGGCCCCTGTTTGTTATAAAGCATGCATGAGGTTGTGATATGATTTTTACTCGACATATATACGTATCATACTCATAATTGAATCTAGCTCGCTTGCACTCGTTTACACCCCTGGATGCATGTTATACTCATACCTTAAAGAACTTGGACTGCAGTAGGGAAGGCAATTTATGCCCATACCCATTTACCCATCTGGCCCACCCATTATTTGGCCCGCCTAAAACCCACCCATTTAATTAAATGGGTCTAAACGGGCGGGTGCATTTTACATCCAGTTAAACGGGTCTAAATGGGCATTCTATACCCGCCCGCCCGCCCGCCCACCCGCCCAAAACCCTAAAATCCCTTCGTTTCTCACTTTCTCTCTCTGAGTCTCTGAGTTCTTCCGCCGCCTCAATCCAGCCTCCTCCGCCTCCTCCTCCGCCGCCTCAAGGCCCTCAACCGCCTCTCGAACCCCAACCGTAATTCCTCCTCCTGAAATCGGATCTCGCCGCTTCTCCTGCTCCTCATTTTAGCCACCTCACTTGTAAGTTCTTTTCCTCAAAACCCTAAGGCTAATTTGGGTATTTTCTGAATTTTTTTCTGAAATTATGGGCATTATGTTCCAGTTTAGTTAGTAAATGGCTAGAATCACAGTAATCCATTGATGTTATGTTTTTAATTCATACACTGAACTCTAGGATTTGGATATTCATTATGGTTAAATTCTTAAGGTCATAAGTTTAATTGGTTGTTATGATGAATTCTCTCAATAATATTACAAAATTTTCCGAAATGCCTTGGTAAATACACTGAACTCTTGGATTTGGATACTCTTCATGGTAGTTAAATCTGTTAAAATCATAACTTTAATGGGTTATTATGATGCATTCTCTAGATGAAGATTACAATTTTTTTCCAAAATGACATGCTGAATACACTGCACCCATGGATTTTGATACTTTTCAGGGTTCAATTCTTTAAATCATAACTTTGCCAATATACAGTTTTTCATTTGGATTTTCAATGTAAATCTTTTGGTGAGGCACATGACATATCCAAGCTCTAGGAATTAATAGTTGGAGGTTTTAAGCTTCTCCCACAAATGTTATGTATTTTAAAAATCAGTAATGATATCCCACAAATGTTATGTATATGCTGTATCTATCTGTTTTTGATCAAGAACTTGCTGTTTCTTGTTATATTATTAGCGACATGAATTTTTACACCAACCAATTACTGCTTTTATATTATTTTGTGCCACTTTATTATGTGTTTGCTACCCAAAATTGATGTGCTATTAAATTATTTTTTCAGCGATCATGTCTTTAAATGATCAATTTAGCATCCATGATGATGGTAGTGATGATGAGAGTACTTCTAAACGTAAAAGAAGACAAACATCAAAAGTTTGGGATCACTTTACGAAGTTATCTACCGATAATGATGAGAAAACTAAAGTTCAATGTAATATGTGTAATCATATTTATGTTGGTGGTCATGGCACTAAGACAATGTTGAGGCACATGGATTCTTGCCCGAAAAGGAACTTAGATGAGGCTGATTCTTCCAGGAAAAGTATGCCACTAAATCAAGAAAAATATAGAGAAATGCTTGCTAGAGTAATTGCATTGCATGGTTATCCATTCACTTTTGTCGAACATCGAGGAAACCGTGAGTTGCATAGTTTTCTAAATTCTGAAGTCAAGCATATTTCAAGGAACACTGCTAAAACAGATTTGATCAAGTTGTACAAGAAAGAGAAAGGAAATCTTAAACAAGCTTTAAAGCTAGTTCCTAGTAGAATTTGTCTAACCACAGATTTATGGACTTCTTCCACCTCTGACTACTATATGTCTCTCACTGCATATTATGTTGATGATTGTTGGATATTGCAGAATAAGATATTAGCTCTATCTCATGTTTCACCCCCATATAGTGGAGCAATTTTAGTAGAGAAGTTATTTCATTTGTTGAAGGATTGGGGTATTGAAAAAAGAATTTTTACTATTACCTTGGACAATGCATCATATAATGATGTTTTCATGAGAATTTTAAAATATCATCCAGTTTTAGAAGATCATTTTGTTAGTAATGGTGATTTTTTGCATGTGCGGTGTTGTGCTCATATTCTAAATATTGTTGTGCAAGATGGGCTAAAGGTTATTGATAAATCATTGTCTAAGATAAGAGAATGCATCAAGTATGTGAAGAGTCCTCCTGGAAGAAAAAAGAAGTTTGCAGAGTGCATTGCACAAACTTGTTCAGGTAAAGCGAAAAAAATTCAACAGGATGTGTCCAACAGGTGGAATTCTACGTTTCTAATGTTGGAGAGTGTTCTGAACTTTCGTCGGGCATTTGAGCACTTGGAGTCGATTGATCCAAACTTCACTTTTTTGCCATCAAGTGAAGAATGGGTAAAGGCTGAAAAAATTACAAAGTTTTTAAAACCATTTTATGAAGTGTCCACTCTTTTTCTGGAAGTAAATATCCAACTGCAAACTTATATTTTGGTGAAGTGTTTAAGATTCAAAAATGCATAATGGAGGAGATGAAAAGTGATGATCAAGATATAAAATCCATGGCAAATGATATAAAAATAAAATTTGATAAATATTGGGAATGCTACAGTGTTATTTTGTCATTTGCAGTCATTTTGGACCCCCGATACAAGGTGAAGTATGTAGAGTTTTGCTTTAAGAAATTGGGAGTTAGTTCTGATTATGTGTTGACTATCTTAGAGAAACTGAGAAGGCTTTACAAAGAATAGGAGTTAGTTCTGATTATGTGTTGACTATCTTAGAGAAACTGAGAAGGCTTTACAAAGAATATGAGCGAGCATCTCTAGATACATCTGTAGCTGAGAGCAGTGGTGAAGAGAACTTTGGAGATGCCCCTATGATGAGATGGTTGAGTTTGAACTGTTTGAGAGTTAATTATATTTAGCAAGTAGGTCCAAGTCTCAGTTAGAAGAGTATCTAGATGAAAAATTAGTCAGTTGGAAGAAAAATGATCATTTGAATGTTCTCGAGTATTGGAAAGGCGAATGCGAGAAGCGTCCTCAATTGTCGATGATGGCTCGAGATATATTGAGTATTCCTATTACTTCGGTGGCCTCTGAATCGGCTTTCAGCATTGCGGGACGTGTGCTTGACAAGTATCGAAATCGTCTTCTTCCGGAGAATGCTGAAGCTCAAATTTGTACTGGTTCTTGGTTAGACGGGATTCCTTGTGAGTTGCCTTCTTTTTTTTTCCTTTATTGCTTTTTTGTATTGTTGTGGGCTACATATTTTATCACAAAATATTAATATTATTTTTTCTTATTAAATGCAGCTCTGGCAGACATTGAAGAAGGAAATTTATTAGTACATGATTTCAGTAATCTAGAGGTTTCTGAATCGGAAGGCGAAAGTGATTAAGGTAAGATTTTCAATCATGGATTTGATTAGGAAATCTAAGGTTAATTTCATTTTTTTTTTCTTTTGGTTTTTGGTTCGCAAATCTGAGGTTAATTTCACTTTTTGTGCAGCACTTTCTGAGCAGGGGGTCTAGTCAAAATCAAATTGATCAATAGGGGCTGTAAACTTCACACATATTTTTCTCTTGTGCTTATTGATCCCTTGTTTGCATGAAAGATTTGGTCAAATACAGACAGTTCCAACTCTATGAATATGTAATAGCTAACTGAGATTGCCTTGTTCCCCACTGATTATTCTCTTGGGAACTTTCAACATGTCTTACTCTAAATCGATACTTATTCTTGTGTAATGATTTAAAGTGTGAATACTTTTATGTACTTGTATGTTCAACTAATCCTACAATTAATTAATTAATTGCTAAGCAAAATTTTTGAGTTTTTGCCTCACTTTTACACTACACGTACAAATACCAAGAAGGATTTCCCTTAAATCATGAGATTACAAATATTAAGTTCTTTATATATTAATACAGTTCCCATGGTTCATGAACTTTACTTGGTTAATTGTTTAATTTGATAGTTTGACTTAGCAATCTCATTAATAGTTTATATATGAAATGTTCTTATGACTCATGCCGTGTAACACTTAACTAAGTTGATAAACAGGGTCATTCAACTGCTGCTGCAGCAAATGTTCGAAAATTGAACAATTAACCAAGTAAAGTTTCATGATTTTTAGTTACATTTGGAACTGAAGTTGCTGTTGTTGCTGATGCAATTCTTGTTGCTGCTGCAGCTGTTGAAGATGATGTTGCTCCTCTAACTGAAGTTTCAAAAATTGCTCCAACTCTGGCATATACTGGTTAACTGACTGCTGATGCTGCAGAGAACCTTGAATTTGTTCAATAAATGGCACAGACGAATTCTGACGAGAAAGCAAGCGTTGCTGCTGAAGCTGCTGTTGCTGTTGCTGCTGCTGCTGCTGCTGCTGCTGCTGCTGGGTCTCCCCCGAAGCAGTTGTTGTTGCTGCTGCTGCTTCTGAAGCTGTTGTAATAACAGGTGCTCTTCCAAACTAATGCGACCAGCTTCTTGCTCAATCAGTGCTAAGTGATTTTCATTTGCAGCATCATGAAGAACACCTGAGCTTGTAGTACGTCTATAACTGCAGTTATTTTGGTTGATTTTGGTTGATTCTGTAATATGTTTATACTGTTTCCTTGGTTGTGATTATTGTCAGTCGCAGCATTGTCAATTTGGCCAGTGCAGTTCTTGTAGTAGCTTTCTGCTATTTGCTTGCGTAAAATCCCTCTCTTTTCAGGCAGCAGTTCAAATGTTTTCTCAGGGAAATTTCTGTTCTGTCGGGCTAAGATTTACTTTCTCGTAAAATCCCTCTCTTTTGATCTTTGTTTCTTGGTCTTTTCTTTCTTCTGTCATGATCCTGTTCATGCCTGAACATTTGAAAGATGGGAAATAAGTAGACTATGGTTGTGCTACTATTTTGTTTATAGTCGAACTTACTATTCTAGTTTATAAAGTAATTAAGTAGATTGTCCTTACTAATCGTGATCGTGTTGCTGATAGTTATGATGGCATTTATATCAAGTTATTGATCTTATACAGATCCTTGCATACCTTGTGTTTTCTATCTTAATTCATTTAAATATACTCGCAATTTTTTTGTTATTGATCTTTTGGTTTTTGGTTTGAAAATTTGAGGTTAATTTTGCAAATGTGTGAGGTCTGTACTTTTATCCAGGCTTGTAAATGGTTCAATGAATTTGTCTGCATTTGTTTATCTTTGTTTATGTTCCTATCTTTGTTAGTATTTTATCAAAATCTCCAACAAGTTTGCAAAAAGCTCCCAAAAAGTTTGCAAAAAGCCCACAATAGTTTGCAAAAAAAACCCTAAAAGTTTACAAAAAACACCCCAAAAGTATTATACATATATAGTTACTATAGTTAAATGGGCAAATGGGCGACCCGTTTATTAAATGGGCGGGCAAAAACCCGCCCATTTAAATAATGTTAAATGGGCCATAAATGGGTAAATGGGCAAAACATGCCCACCCATTTATGACCCGCCCATTTAAAACCCATACCCACCCATTTAACATCTCTAGACTACAGATAGAGAACACTCAATTTGTGTAACTGTCGACGGGTCAACATTACTCAAAAAAGTAATGCAGATACGAAGGATCCAAAAAGTCTTTTTTGTCGGAAACGGGATGAAAGCCTATAGCGGGGTGAATAGGATTGCTATAATTTTTTTTGATAAACAAAGAATATGCAGCGGAAAATAAAAAATGAAAAACTAAGAGCAACCAACACAAAAACACACGAGACTTTTGTAGTGCTTCGGATCAAAATCCTGCATCCACTTTTTCTTATTGCAAAGGGCCTTTTTCACTATGACCGGAGTTATCCCTGAATCCCAACCCGGTTTAGTAGGCTTTACAGATAGGCCCCTTGAATCTACCTGAAACCAGTCGAGATACCAAACTCCTCACAATGATAAGAAAATACAGATTGTTGATTGATTTCTCGTTTCTAAGAAATACATATTATTAACTATAGTCCACCGGTGACCTATAGACCATCGATAGTTGCTTCGTGATCATCGATGGTTAATGGCGATTACTGTTCGTATTGATTTTTGCGTCGCTTTGAGCCAAAATTATTTCGTACTTTTTATTGTTGAAATATATCATCTCACAAACTTATTAGTACTAAATGAGTGTTTGTTATTAATCAAACAAGAGATATTGCACGAACAATGTTCTACAAAGTTCTAACACTTTTCTTTGAGAAATTTAAGTACACAAAATCTCATTATTTTCTCACATTGATGCATAATCCTAGGTGAAAATCCAGTCCATGCAAATTCTATCTTTTCTGTCAGACACTACAACCAATATTTGCTTAGAACAACACAAAATTCAACTGTGCATTACATTATGAGAACTTTGTGGTTAACTTTTCGCTGAAAAAAATTCTCTCTGTGGTTTGTTTGTGTCCACGATCTGCATTGCAAATTGTCACGAGGCTGCTTGAAGCTCTATCTTCCCTCCCCAGGTCTTTATTCTTTCCTCAGCTTGCGAAGCCTAAAAGCCTGTAGGAAATTTGAGTACAAATTATGGACCATAACGTTGTATATTTGCACTAGTGCAAAATCATACATCAGCTTGTATATAATCCAATGAATCATACAAGATTAACGATACTTGTTTAGATGGTTGTAAGTAAAATTGTCATACTAGAATCATAAAGTTTGAATTGTTTTAAAAAAGGATTAATTGCAATAGACCCCCTGTAGTGTCGAAATTGAGAACTTATACTGGTCTAGCTAGGCTATAATATATATATATATATATAATATATATATATTATATATAATATATATATATATATATATATATATATATATAAAGGTGTGGATAGTGAATAGTGTGTCCACCAAAGTTTTTAACCACTCATATTGGCCTAGGGATCCTTATATTATATAAAAAGATGTTTTATATTAATAAATGTGTGGCTACAAAGTTTGGTGGACATCAACTTGGCAGCTCATGGGGGAGAGGTGAGCTGCCAGCCCGCCACCTCCATTATTCTCATATATATATATATATATATATATATATATATATATATATATATATATATAAAAAGATGGACCCGTTGAGTGAACGCTTAATTGAATCTTTTACCATCACAGAAGTAGAAAATTGTTTTTGCTAACAAGTAGACCCCCTGAACCTAAAACAGTCGGGGGGGGGGGGGGAAAAGGAATACAAAAAACTCACTCAGGGGTCTATCTCCAAAAATAAAACTAGAGGGGATATGTAGTAAGTTTAAAACAATGATGCCACAAGGATAGTAAATCCAAAACACAGATATTACAGTGATGGGGATATGTAGTAAGTTCAAAACAATGATGCCACAAGGATAGTAAGTCCAAAACAGAGATATTACAGGGATATTAAGTTCAAAGGAGCTACATGAGCCTTTTTTTCTATGACAACAACCACCACCACAAATTTGCAAAATTTCCCCTTTTTCAGCACTAGCTAACTTCAATTTTAGATAAATTACCTCTTTTCCCCATTTAGTTCTGAATGTGATCAAAATCAAGATCACTGTTTGCAGTAGAGTTCCGACTAACATCCCTGACCAAAGTCCCTGCACATTGATAACAAGAAATAACCAAATCCAGTTCTTTCATAAACACAACAAATTTAGCCAAACCAACAATATAAGATTAAAAATTGTAGTTTCTTGCCATTGCATTGAGCTTAAGCTTGAGCCCAAGAACAGCTCCAATAGGCAAACCAACTAGATAATAGCAGCCTGTATTTACAAAAGCTACCAAGGATTGCCAACCAGCTCCAACTGCTACTCCTGAAAATTTTGAAGGAATAGTCATAAATTTTTATACGCCTGCAATTTTTTTAACCGTAAGTGTAATAATTGTTTAGAATAGTACCAGAGAGAACAGGTTGAATGCTGTTTAAAATGATTGTAGCTGCCAATAAATACCCAAGTTTGGATGTTTCTCTAATAACTTCAGGTATATCAGTAAACAATTTCGGTAGATGCTTTCGAGCTATAAAAACTATAACCATGAAGATAAATCCAAGGAGTCCTGATGTCAAAACCGAGATAACAACTGCAAATTTTGCGGCTTTTGGACGACCAGCTCCGAGTTCATTGGATACTCGCACACTCCAGAATGTGAAACATTATGAATTGTCATGAATTTTTCAAAAAGGAAATCTATTGTTCAACAGGACTGATGAAGTTGGTGTCGAGAATGCTTACCTTACAGCAGCATTGATACCTAAAGCAACCGTTAATGTCCAAAGTTGGATGCTCATGCTGTCAAAGGGAAGAATGAAATTAGACGAAATGTGTGATGGTAAATAAATTGTTAGGGATGAACTTGATACGGTATGGACTGAAGGGTTCGGCTTCTAAGTCAAACAAACTCATGATAAATTCTCTTAAATGATTATTCTGTGTGGATAGATTGAATTTTCTTCCAAGAAGAAGATTTTCATCTCTGTAGATTTCTTCCCCTTTTATTGACTACAGCTCAGTGATCCTTGTTCATTACATTAGTCTAATAATCTTCAATTTTATCTGTTTATGCTGATTCAATGGTAGACGGTTTCTGATGTATTAAGTGCCCATTATATAAGATTTAGAGGATATTTTCTTCGAGATCAAGACAACAGCCAATAAAAGGGGAAGAAATGTAACTAACCATATAGAGACAGCACTAACTTCAATTTCTGCATTCTTCAAACATCCCACCAAGATTATCACTGCAGTATAATACCAAACCTCCAAGCTGCATTCAAACAAGCAAATTAGGGCAAGAAGATACAAACGTAACACACATGTAAACATTCGAGTACTAACCATAACATTACCGCCGACGCAAGTGACAGTTTCACGAAAGAAGACAGAGATTTAAACGCCAACCAAGAGAACCCTTTCCAGGCCTCGGGAAAATTCCCAGACACAACATATATCATCTGGGCCAAAACTATAAACCACCACGAAATATTCCCAACAATTGCCGCTCCAGATAATCCGTAACCAAGTTTAGTAACAAAAATCCAATTCAAAAGTACATGAATTGGGAGAGCAATTCCAGAAATTGCAGTCATTACCCATACTCTGCTCTGAGACTGGAGAAACTTTTGGATGGGGAAATTCATAGCGTATGCGAATAATTGAGGGATTACCCATCTCGTGTACTGTTGTGCTAGTTCCGATATGTCTTTGGATTGATGAAGAAGTTTTAGTATTGGAGATGCAAACACATAAATTGGAGTTAGAATTAGAGCTGTTACTCCTGTGATAATGAATGATCTCTGCATGTAGATTCCTAGCATGTTGAGTTGTCCAGCGCCGACAGCTTGACCACATAGCGTCTCCAAGGCGCTGCCCATCCCTAACTATAAAGAAAATGTAAAGAAACTTCAATGATCATTTGAAATTGTAGCGTACATTAGAATGCTTCGATTCTGATGTGATGGCACATTTTGGTCTATATACATTTAGGATGAGAATTCTAGCTAGAAATGTGTAGATTCAGTTAGTTCAGTAATGCAAATGTTTCTGAAAATATTTGATCCAGATGCTCAGAAAACTTTAGGTGTAAGCATGCGCAATTGTGATTATGCGACAAACTAATGACATATCACATTAAGACGCTAGCACTTCAGAGGTAACCCTCAATTGACTGGTATGGTAAGGAAAATTTTTGTCATGATGTCAAGACAATATCTCTAGTTGGTAGCTACTAGCTAGGATGTCAGTCTTAATGCTGAGTTCCAAATTCTAATGAAGGATAATGAAACCTTAAGGCTGTGATTGGCAACCCTTACAAAAACTGGGCCAGCATTAATCTTGTCCAGATGCATTCTGAACCAGACTAAGATTAAACTAGGATTAAACCAATGAGAAAGTAGCCAACAAAGTCACCTTCTGGTATAAGGAAAACTGGGCAAATATATAACTCCCCATCTTCACTGTAAGTTCGGTATTTTGGTGAAGTGGCTAGGACCTTTAACACCAAAATAATTCTATTCGTTCTATTGCTGATTTTTCATTAAAAAAAAATCAAAAATAGTAATTAGTATTAGTCATAGTCCTATCTTCATCTGAACCTGGTAGCAAACAAGTGTAACCTCCTTTCTACTAGATGGACAGTTGTTTTTACGACCTGGAGCGTGACCGAAACGGCACGTGACTAGGTCGGTAGCACACCTCCTCGACGATGTCATTGCCGAGATAATATGCTTAAGACTATCTAAAACTATGTATTTTAAAGCTTTTTTGGAAGTAGATCAATAAATAATTTAATTGTGGAATTTAAAGAATTCATTTCTATCAATTTCAAAACCAAACAGTACCTGCACAACTCATGTTCTCAAAGTCGCTACTCTAGAGTTCTGATATGATCTATGGGTCGCAATTTACGATCCGATCCATTGACCCGACCCGACTCGACCTGACCTATTTATACTCTAGAGTTCTGATGTGATCTATGTGTGGCAATTTACGATCCGATCCATTGACCCGACCCGACTCGACCTGACTTATTATAAACGGTATGGATCACTTTACATTGGTTAGGTGATAAGTGAGTCGATACGAATGACTCATTTATTAAAGCGGCCATAAATGGGTGCACTTCCTCACTCATTTAACTTCAACCCATTTATCATCCAACTCTTAAAATTCAAAATTTACAAAAACACACCCCAAAAATGTCAATACATACAAATAGTACAAATCTATAGATTATAAACATCATGAAATTTGTAGAAAAGACCCAAAATTTTCACAAATTACAAAAAACCACCCCTAAACACGTAAACTTTATAAAAACAACCCCAAAAATATCAAAACTTACAAACATCAAAAATTTTATAAATTATAAACAACACCATAAAAAATTTAAAATTTGTCAAAACAACCTAAAAGTTTCAAAATTTGTAAAATAGACTTTCAAAAGAGTCAAATTTTACACAAAAAACACCCCAAATATCAAAACTTACAAATAGTGCAAAATCTTTAACTTATAAACAACACCATAAAGGTTTTTAAATTTTCAAAAACACCCTAAAAGTTTTAAAAATTGTAAAAAAATACCTTCAACAAGTCAAACTTATAAGAAAAAAGCTGAAACATTAGAACCTAGAAATAGTATAAAAAATTAAATTACAAAAACTAGATGAAACTTTTGAAATTCGTAATGCACAACCTGAAAGTTTAGAGAATCGCAAAATGCACCCTCAAATAGTCAATTTTTATAAGAACACACCCTAAAAGTATTAAAACTAACAAACAACACAAAATCAATCTTTGACTTATAAACGAAACCATTAAGTGTTAAAATTTATAAAAAAAAACCCTGAAAGTTTGAAATTTTACAAAAAACACTCAATAAGTCAATTTACTAAACCTAAAAATCAAAATTTTGAAACAGTAAAAAAATGATAAATTAAAAAGAGGATGAAATTTTTAAAATTTGCACAAAACACCCAAAAAGTTTCAAATTGCAAAAAACCCTAAAAATCAAATTTTACTAAAACACACCCAGGAAATATCAAAACTTACAAAATAGTAAAAAATTGATAACTTATAAACGACACCATGAAAATTTTAAAATTTTTAAAAACACCGTGAAATTTTCAAAATTTATAAAAAATACCTTGAAGATTCAAAATTTACAAAACAATATCTAAAAAGTTAGAATATACAAAGAGTACAAAATTCATAAATTAAAAAAAGTCCCCTAAAAATGATATTTGTAGAAAACACCCTGAAACTTTTAAAATTACAAAAATCAAAATTTACAAAAAACACCCTAAAATATCTAAACTTATAAATAGTAAAAAAAAAATCTATAAATGATAAATCAAATCATGAAAACATTGACCTTAGGTTTCATGTCAAGTGCATAAAATAAGTTGGATTGATTATAAAACCAGTAAATGGGTCACTTGGGTCGGGTGGGGAACCCAGTTGTTAAATGGGCCGGTCAATATGATACGAGCCATGTCAAAATTTTGACGTATAGATGGGTCTATCTGCGAGGCATTAAGCTTAATATTAAGGGATGAGATACATCCATGTGGGTTTCATTCAATCTCTATCATCTATTTAAATTTGAAGGGATGATAGTGAAAATTCCACAGAGTTGTATCTTAATCCTTAAAATTTAAATCGAATGGTATAGATTAGCATAATTGGAATCTCTCCAATTACCAACTATTAATTAATAGATAATAAATGACACAATGTGAAAGCTCAGAGTTGTATATGCCATTAACCCTAATATAATATATAAGTACCAAAAATCCAAAACCCAAGCAATCGATTACACTCTGCCCCATAGCAACCGCTGCAAGCTCAACATCCCCAAGATGACCCACAAAGGCGACGGTGACAACCTCGAGGGAAGTGATGAAGACTCCGTTGAGTATTGCGGGCCCCGCGATGTGCCACGTCTTCTTGGTCTCAACCCAACTCTCTACCATCCTCTTCATCTTCTTTAGTCCTAGTATGCAGCCAAGGATTTGTTTTCTATTTATAGCGATTTAAACTTATTAGCGAGAGAGAAAGAAAATTAATTATTAAATATGTGGATTAGTGGACACGAGGCTTGCATGCAGAGGTTGGACGAGTTTTGTGTTTTTTCTTAGCCTTTGACACATGCATGTGTAGTTGAGGATTTGGAAGAGCTTTGACTTTGGCCGAGTTTCTTTGGCTTGTAGCTAAAAAGATCAACTCTATACGTGGCATGGTACTGAGAGATGCAATAAATTAGGCAAATCATTAGTTGCACTTATGCTGTTTTGCATTATGAAGTTATTATGATGCAGAACACGTGGCATGGTGGACGAGTTTAGGGAGCAAAATCTGAAGTCCAAACGGAGCTTGAAAAGGATCTTCAGTCTATATCTCTCAAGAAAGGAGGATTCGAACATGTAACATATGAAAATTTTGTATTTCAACGAGATACAGTCCTCCAAACACCCCTAATTAAGTTTGTTTCGTTGTGCTCAAAGTCACATGTTCCTATCAATCATCATTATTTTATTTTATTTTTGACATTTACTAATTTTGGTAATGCTTGGATTAGGAAAAGAAATCTAGTTATCTCAAGTTGCCTGGTTTGTTTTCTCAATCATAGAGAGCCTTTAAGGATCATTTTTAAAACTTTCTATTTTTAGTAATTTTTATGTTAAGAGCTGATAAATTGATGTTGAGGTAATAGTCGATGTTTTTTTTGGAAAAAATCAGCTGATGCGTAGTTGGGGTGATCAAAGAGAAAAGGGTAATTTTCGAACAGATGTCGACATGCAACTTTGAAGGACCATATCTTTGACTCTCTCCATTGAATTCTTATTATAATATATTTTCGGAAAGCTCAAGAAGTATTATAGAAATAATTCGCAATTCTATACATTTCCGAGGTCAAAAGAATTCATCTTCAAGCTCAACTTCACGTCAAAGATATAGTTACTTTTAGTTTTATGGGTTAGCTCTTTTATATTAGGAGGCTAGTTTAGTCGTTTGCAATAGTTTTCATACCCCATATATTGTGTCAAATTTTATATAGAAATTTATCTTGGTTATTATTATGAGCTTTGCTACAGGGACCCAAAATATGGGACCAATGGAGGGGACAAGTGAGGTGTCTCCCTCCTATTGGATAATGAGTTGGCCATCATTAATGATGGCCAACTCATTATCCAATAGGAGGGAGATACCTCACTTGTCCCCTCTATTGGTCCCATATTTTGGGTCATTGAGGAATTTTTCTATTATTATTCAGAAACCTTCTATCCCTAGGATTTTCTAGGGTTTGTATCGTCCTGCTAGTATGAAAATGAGTATGTGTTATTCAGTTACACTTCTGCTAAATCATAAATGCCATTGAAGATATAGGCTAGGTATTGGCGTATTAATTGTTAGCTCTAGCTTCAACTAGCTAGATGCCTAGATTCCAACAAATTAATTAGACAAGCTAAAATAGTAGAAAGATCAATACCTCAGAGTTTTTTCTCTCTAAAAAAGTAGAAAGATAAATAACACCTAGGGTTATTTACCTTTTCAGCGAAAATCTATACCAGGGTTACATTGAGTCAACCCTCCATAATTTACCAAACGTAAAAAATATAGAAGAGTTAAGCTAACCCCTCTAGAGGGAATAAAATAAGTCAACCCCTCAAAATGAGGGGTTTACTAATATTCCTATTTAGAAGGATTAAGAGTTAACCCCTCCAATTATAAAAAAAATCATTGTTATTCACAAACCCTAAAAATGATCTCAAGGGCTAAAATAAGACTTGTATAACGTGTTAATAATTTAGTCATTTGGATTATCGAGTGGGTGAACTATGTTAATCATTCTCCTTAATCTCTTTTCCTTAACCTTAATTTTGCCAAACGGGCTTAAGAGACCACAAAGAGAAACTTTGGAGATTAATTAATACAATCGAAGGAGATTTCAAAAAGCAATGTTGGCAGCTTTCAATATATGCAAATATCATAGAAGTGAGGGAGAAACCTATGATCTAATGCTTGGGGCAATATGAGGGGACTTGTATGAAACAAAGAAAGTTGTTGCCTGCATATGATACGGAAAGTTTATGTCTAAGATATAATCTAAGCTACAAGAACAAGAATCAAAATGCTCTTTATAGTCACCTTCGATTATACAACTAACCGGATAACAAAGTTTAATTTTGTTGGACATTTCAAGTACATAAATTTTTGGTGGGGGGGGGGGGGGCCGGGGAATCGGAGTAATAAGTCTGAAATAAGGGTAAATTATTAGGGGCCAGCATAACCCTAATAAATGTACCAAAAATGGAATTTAAGTAGTGCATGTATATATATACCAGAAATCCAAAAGCGAAACATTCGATCACGCTCTGACCCATCGTAACCGCAGCGAGCTCAACATCACCAAGATGACCAACAAAGGCGACGGTAACAATACCGAGGGAACTGATCAAAACTCCCGTGAGTATTGCGGGCCCCGCAATCTGCCACGTGTTCTTCGTCTCGGCCCAGCTCTTTGCCAAAACCCTCCTCATTTTTCCACTCAAAATCTTCGAAGTCCTATTATCCGGGGGGAAAAAATCTTCAAAATTCTAATTAATTAGCATATATATATATAACATTTGTGATTATAGGTCCTTAACTTTGCTCATATCAAGAGAAAGAGAGAGAGGGAGGGGAATGATATATAAATTACTTAATATATGGACACGAGGCTTGCATGAAGAGGTTGGATGGTATTTGCGTGTCGCTGTGGGAGTTTGAGACGTGTGCAGTTGATAATTAGGAGGAAAATAATGTTTGTTACGGATTTTGACTTTGAATGACTTCTTTTGGCTTGCAGCTAAAAGATCGACCCTGTATGTATAAATATAATATCGTGCTGATGAGTGAGTGAGTGAGAGAGAGAGAGAGAGAGAGAGAGAGAGAGAGAGAGCAATGTATTTCAAAAGGTAAATGATTAAGTGCACGCACGCTTTCTTGCATCATGAAGTTTTAGTCATCTATATCTGATCATGAAGTAGTAGTTATCTATATCGATTAAAATGTCAGATTGGTACTTTTTTATACCCCTCTTATCAGTTTCGAAAACGTTTTAGTGTTTTTTTTGGCCGTCGGCAAAAAGAAGTTATGAAACCTCAACGTAATGCTATTAGTGCTATCTTATTCACAAGGAAAGTGTCAAAAGATTATTGCACATGGTATAAGGATAATAAGTAAGACCAAACTTATGCAAAATTTTGAGTCCGCTACAAGAAAGTAAAATTTAGGACGAAATAGAGGAGGACATGATATTACCTCTAAGGATCCTGATCCTCTCCAAATATAATGACAAGAAAACTTGAGAGGCCGAAGAGGCTTCATGTCTTTTTTGTGTCAACGGCGAAGTTGTGAATCTGATCGCGTGCACGTGCACATATACACACATATATATGTTGGATAACAGTATTCCTAATCTATCCTAATCTATTTTGATAACATGAGGTTATTAGAATTCCTAATCTATTTTAGTAACATGAGATTATTAGGATTCCTAATTTGTTTTGTTTTTGGTTTTAGGATTCCTAGTCTGTTTTGGTTTTAGTTTTTCTATATATATGGAGATTAGAATCAATCATCAAAGGGAGGAGAGTTGTAATCAGAGATTAGAGAGACTTTTGAGCATTGTGAGAGGAAGATATTGTGAGCAAGTTGAGAGCTTTGGTTGAGGGTTAGTTTGTGAGTTTTGTGAGATTATAACCCTTTGTACTCTCCTTAATTTAGTGGAATCTCCTCATCCTCTCCCCGTGGACGTAGGCAATTTGTTGAACCACGTAAAATTGTTTGTCTTGCTATTTGTGTGATTTGTAATAGCTTATTTAGGTTCCCTCGACAGGTCAGTCCTAGAACTGATGAGAGGAAGAGCTGATATCTCACTTAGTTGAGATATTTTGCTTAAGGTTCTTATTTCCTTGGTGAAACAGTAATTCTTATTGCGACCTGACTCTCTTGTTGTGCTGCCGAATTGCTGCCAAAATTTTCGATACGCGCAACAAGTGATATCACAGCCCAGGTTTCAGATCTAGGGTTTTGGAATTAGGTGGAAGAAGATTCTTGTGTGAAGCTTGGTTCTTGGAGTTCTAGGTTTCGGTGGAGATAGCATTAGGAGTTGTCGTTGAAGATTTCGCTTTCCTCGTATGGACAGGAGATCTATTTGGAATCTGATCTAAGGTTCAGTTGGATAATTCTTAATTTCTATCAAAGTTTGATTATTTCTCTACAACTTAGAGTTAGTTTGCAATGGGAGAAGAAGGTGAAAGCAGCAAGTCGATGACGAGTACAGTTCAAGTTGGTTTTTAAAACACCAAAATTAGTGTGGTGAAATATAACGGTAAAATCAACTTTGGTTTGTGGATGAACGACGTATAGGATACATTCAATTCTCAGAACTTAGAGGAGACCATCATGGTCCACGAGAGACCACAAAAATATGAGGAGGTGATATGGTAAAAGATGAATAGGAACGATTGTAGGGTGATCAGGTCCTGTTTGGAACAGAAGCTGAAATATGATGTGATTGGGGTGACGTCTGCAATGAAGATGTGGGAAATTCTTAACAATAAGTATCTTACGAAGAGTGTTGAGAACAGTTTGCACTTGCTGTGAAGATTATTCAGATTTCAGATGTCCTGAGGCACCTCACTAGCGGCTCATGTGAACAACTATACTAAGTTGTTGTCGGACTTAACGAACGTTGATGAGAAGATATCGGATGAGTACAAGGTTATTATCTTATTGGGCTCCTTACCGGATGAGGAGTAGACATATTTGTGCTTACTTTGTCGAACGGAAGATCTTCTATCAGCTATAGTAAAGTTACTAATACATTGACGAATTATGATTTGGGGAGGAAGGACAAGGAGACTTCCCGTGCTAGTACTTCAGGCGAGGCCTTGTCGACGAGAGGTAGAAGCCCATATCCGAAAGGTAGTAATAGAGGAACGTCAAAGTCAAGAGGTCGTCATCAGCTTGGAAAGAACCAATGTACATTCTGCAAGGAACAAGGGCATTGGAAAAGAGATTGTCCAAAGGTCAAAGAGAAGGAGAATGGCAAGAAAAATGGCCTGAATGCCAATGAGGTGAATGTTGCGAAAGGCGATGATTCCGATGATTCAAGCTTTTCACCATTTGGATGCATCAGATTGGATGCTTGATTTCAGCGCTACTTATCATGTGACCCCTAGGTGAGATTGGTTTGCATTGTTTGAGAGACTCGATGGGGGTGTTGTTTTCATGGAAAATGATCAATCCTGTGGTATTTGTAGGATAGGTACCGTGCGGATTCGGATGCACGACAGAGTAGTCCGTGAATTAAAGGAGGTGAGATTCGTTCTTCAGCTGAAGAAGAATATTATCTCAGTTGGAGCTTTGGAGACAATGGGATTTAAGGTGACCTTTAAGGACGCTGTAGCAAAGGTTACTAAGGGATCTTTGGTGGTGATGAAGAGAGTCCGCAGTCAAAACTTGTATTATCTGAAGGGGAGTACCAAAATTGGTCAGGTTTCTTCGACTATTTCAGAGGCGGACATGAGCAGGATTTGGCATTACAGGTTAGGGTACACAAGAGAGAAGTCACTGTAGGCGTTGTGTCAGCAGGGGCTATTGAAGGGAGCCAATAGTGGTAAAGTGGAGTTCTGTGAGCACTGTGTACTTAGCAAAAAGACGAAGATGGAGTTCGGGACTGTTATTCATAGGATGAGGGGCATCCTAGACTACGTGCACATAGACGTTTGGGGTCCCACCAAGTCTGCATCACTTGGTGATCGACATTGGTTCGTCATATTTATTGATGACTATTCTAGGCGATGTTGGGTGTACACCATGGCAGAAAAGAGTGAAGTCCTAGATATATTTGTGGAGTAAAAGAAGAGGTTGGAACTACAGACTGGGAGAAAGATCAAGACGTTGTAATCTGAATACGACGGCGAGTACACATCAGACCCCTTTCTGCAGCTATGTCGAAACGAGGGCATAGAGAGGCACTTCACGATTAGTCATACACCGCAGCAGAATAGGGTGGCAGAGAGGTTAAATCGGTTTTTGCTGGAGAAGATCCGATGTTTATTGTCGCAGAGTGGTTTGGAGAAGATCTTTTGGGCTGAGATACTTACATATGCGAGCCACCTCATTGATAGGCTACATTCATCTGCGATTAAGGGAAAGACCCCTATGGGGAAGTGGTCGGGAGAGCCAGCACATGATTATAAACAGCTCAAGATATTTGGGTGCCCTTTATTTTATCATGTGAAAACAGATAAATTAGAACCTCGAGCTAAGAAGACCATATTTGTAGGATTCAAGCATGGTGTCAAGGGATACAAGCTTTGGGATCCAATTGATAGGAAGATTGTGCTGAGTAAGGACGTCACATTTGATGAGGCTTCTATCTTGAAGCTTCCCAGCTCTCATCAGGTAGAGAACGACCCTACGGAGGAGATATCGTAAGTGGTGGAGATCGATACAGCTCCACATTATCCAGATGGTACAGTATCCATTAGAGTACCGACTGAGGTGATGTCAGGAGAGCATGACGGTGATACGGAGGATACGGGTACTGATGTACAGGATCAGGGACCGACGGTTCAGGTTCAAGATTTTATTGCGGTTCGGAGATAGAGGAGAGACATACGGTTGCCAGCACGGTATGCCGACAAGTTGCGTATGTACTTTCGGTTGAGAGTATCGATGAGATGGTGCCTACTACATTCAGAGAGGCCGAGCAAAGTTTGGAGGCCGATTCGTGGCAGGTAGCTATACAGGAGGAGATGGAGTCTCTTCATAAGAACGATACATAGGAGATGGTTGAGCTTCCAAAGGGGTGGAAGGCAATTGGTTGCAAGTGTGTATACACAAAGAAGGAGAGCATTGAGGGCACTCCATTGAGGTTCAAAGCTAGGTTGGTTGCAAAGGGCTATGCACAAGAGGAAGGAATTGACTATAACGAGGTTTTCTCTCTAGTGGTGAAACACTCTTCGATTCTGATTTTGCTAGCGTTGGTGGCACAGTATGGTTTAGAGTTAGATCAGTTGGATGTGAAGACGGTATTTCTTCATGGTGATCTTGATGAAAAATAATATATGACTCAGCCATTGGGATTCCGAGCTGCAGAGAAAGATAAGTTGGTTTGCAGGTTGAAGAAATCGCTATACGGTTTGAAGCAGTCTCCTCGACAATGGTATAGGCGATTCGATGGTTTTATGATTGGTCATTCGTACACTCGGAGTCAGTTTGATCCTTGCGTATATTTTTACAAGTTGAAAGGAGGTGCGTATATCTATTTGTTACTTTATGTCGATGACATGTTAGTTGCCTCTATTTCCAGATCTTCTATAGATGAGTTGAAGGCACAACTTTCAAATAAGTTTGAGATGAAGGATTTAAATGAGGCGAAGCGTATTTTAGGGATGGAGATTAGCATAGATAAGAAGAAGGGCAGAATTTGTTTGACACAGGTAACTTATTTAAAGAAGGTTCTACAACGATTTTATGTTAGAATGAATACGAAGCGAGTTAGTGTACCATTGGGAGCCCATTTGAAGCTTTTAGTTGATCTTTCACCAAAGACAGTTGAAGATCGAGAATTAATGTCAAAGACTCCATATGC